TGTGCCCACACACACTGGTACAGGTGGGTGTCACAAGTGACTATAAACTATAAAAACATTACAAGTCTGAACGTGAAGCGGACACTGGGCACCCATTCCTCCCCATGATGTTAAGCCAGGCCTCCCTTCCTCATCCCATCACACCCTATCAGGCTCCTTAAAAACAAGAAGGCTAAGCTCTTTTTAGATAAAACCAAAATTAAGCCCTGACTACTGGATTCACATTTAGGATTCAGAGACTGAGCCTAAACCAATATTTCAAGTCAAAAAATTCTGGAATTTTTAAGTCTGTAACCAGTCCTCCCCTCCCCATTCATCCTTACTTTTCAGAGACATTGTTCAAACTATATCCAAACATAATTTTAATTATATTTTACAAAGCAAATATTTTTTTTCCAGAATAGACCGACTATATAAAGTAACACAGGTGGGAATCCTAGAACTTGCTTGTCTGCCTTAATAACCCCAAAGAAAACATTTATTTTAGCCAAACAATTGTAATGTTTGTCTCCTTTTAGAAACATCTGCTGCCAAAATAAACATTTGCATTGGAAGAAGTGTTTTGGCTGTTAAGATGGTACTAAATAAAATGCTTATGTTCTGAAATAAATATTTTACTCAAAAAACACACAGCAAAATAGACATATCCAAAGGGTGTAGAAGATAAACTAAAGACACAAATTAAAATACCTATTGATTTTTAAAGTCTTTTACAAAAGAACCTCAGTTTTTAATTTAGTTTTTATTTAGACTGAAAGCGATAAGTTCAGATGAATCCCCTTAACAAAAATAATTTCTATTTAATTTTGCCACCATATCTTTCAAAATAATTATATCCATGCTCTTGTTGTAAAGGTCTTCACAACACAGATGTTTCTGTAAAACTAAAAGTCCTGTTTTCCCATTATAATAGCACTCAAGAACTTAAATCTCTCACTTTCCCCTCTTTTCTTTTCCCTGGTTTTATAATGCCAACAGCCATCAGATTATACAAACATTTGCAACAAGATAAGGATAGTTGAAATATCAACCCAATATAACCCTTGATAACTCAGGAAAAATCTCAGACTACAGAATTGAAATCTGCTTGACACAAATAATATATCTTCGCTTCTGTAGCCTATTTCCCCTGGGTGCTATTTCTTTTATATGAAAATCTTTTTTAAAGCAAGTCAGCACAGGTCTATGTATACATTTGTGATCACAAAGGACAAGAAAAATAAAACATTTGCTCACCCACATCCCTGATCCAGCAAAGGGTATCTCAGTGTCTACGTTTAAAAAAAAAAAAAATCTACAAGAGTCAGATTCTAGCAACCTTAAAGATTATACATCCTCTGTGTAGCTCTGCAGAAGATGAAATCAACCAGTGTACTTCTGTTAACCATCCCCAGGTTTGAATTCCAGGAGCCTGGAGGCAGAACATTCTCCACAGAGGCATAGAAAATTCATTTCCCCTCTCAACTCAATAAAAGCCCAAGTAGACTAGTTTTTAGGGCACCGTGCAAAACTAATCTTTTTAGCCATGTATTTGCCTGATGATGTAGGAGAATCAGCAAGTGAAAGACCACAAATCTAGTTCCAGTTAATACCAAAATGATGTACTATTATCACGTCATGCTTCAAAGACCAGTCATGAGTATATTTCAAAAATAAAATTATCAGCATGCAAATCAAGGATCACCAAGTTAATACTAAAATCAAACACTCGGTGGCCAGTTCCTCCTGACTCTCAGAGAAAAAGTAAGCAGTGATGCTATCCATGTTACATTTCACACAAGCACTGCAGTTCTTTCTAACAGAATACTCACTTAAAATTCCTATCACAGGGGTGGAATGCCAGCCAGGAATCCAACTGTGACCCCTGAGCCAAAGACAACTTACCACTCAGCTGGTAAGTGGGCAACTCAATTTACAAACCTGAATTTCTGCATTTTAATTCTTTGTAGAAATATATGAGCAATATTAAATGAACTGGATTCAGCTCATTAGAGGTTCACAAACCAAACACAGAAAGTTTTGGAGGCCGTCCAAAGCAAAGTCATGCCTAGGTGATGATGTCCACTCAATAAAAACTCAACGCCATCATTATCTTTCAACTTTTTCCCTGAAGAACATTAGCAGCCATGACTACAACAATGCTTGGCCAATTACATTATTACTAGGAGAAGATGGACAGGACCAGCAGCCAATCACTGTGCCAGGACCTTGTTTGTGGACAAATTTATAATTATCCAAAATTATATTGCAAATTCCTCACCAAAGAACATAGATGAAAGCTAACAAAAGAAATGCGCTCTAATAACCTTTACTCAAAATCTTCAGTATGTTTTTTCCATTTCAAAGCTATTAGCCTACACCTAACTGATCACATGAACTTGGTATTATAAAAGCTGTGTCCCCTTTAAAATATTACACACATTCAAAAATGCATTCACAGCTATTTTTAGCCTTTTACATTTCAAAACAAGATACTATATTTCAAGGTTGTATTATAACTAAATGAAAGAGTGAAAAAGCAATACAGATTATTTAGAACCCTCGATTATGATGAGTTCCATATGAAAGTTTGACACTTTACAGCCAGGGCACTGAGTTTCTTACCAGATACACTATTTTCCTCTCATTATCAGAAAGAGCTGTGCTTTATTAGAATTAGGCATTTCTTTTGGTTAGCAGTAAAATACCTAATCTAAAATCTTAATTAAAAATTTGAATTGGTGGGTAATCTTCATCAATTTGTCCCTTCAAATAAATCCAAGAGTTATTGGATTTCAAAAATATATAAGAGCCACAGGGATTAAATGACACCAAGAAACTAAGAAAATTGAGGTTACTCTATGTACTTGTGTGTGTCTTCTACTTTTAGCCTTACACATTTGGGGAAGAAAAGAATGAAAAACATATACCTACGTAATCATTCTCCACACATCTCTGTTAGATTCCCATTTTGGGATCGTAAACTAAGCCAATGTTGAAAACCTCTAATAAGACTTTAACTCATTCAGAGAAAAAGACAGAGGAGCATCCAGGAGCTTGCCATGAACAGCACTTTTTGAAATGACTTGAGAATTTCACATCAAGAAAACATCGTGGAAAGCAAGGTGCAGACACAAGGAGTGGTCAGCATCTATTTCTCTCCATTGGTCCTGCTATTTCTTACCTTTCTGCCTCTACTCTCTTCCTGTGGCCAGACTATCATATAGAACTACCAGCCCCAAAAGGAAATCACCAAAGGGTAGAATTAGGACTTTATAGCAGCTAGCTGTCCAGGCCTTCTTCCCCTCAACTAAGGGCAAATTAGCTTTAAAGCCAAAAGAGAAAAATCACAACTCTCATCTCACTTCTCAATCATTTACAAATTATCTCCCTCTCATAGGTAGCAGCCTCAACTAGAGATTTTTACCCTAGGCAGCAAAATATTGCTGGAAGAAAGGAGTAATGTTGGAAAAATTAAGAGTAATTTTAATATAATTAATTATGCAACAATTACTATGCATAATACAATTAACTATGCAACTGACCGCTAGAATTCGAAGTGGCCAATCTTTAATAAACAAGGGGTGAGGACTTCCAACGATCACAAGGGCTGTTTAAGGAACTAACAGCTAGGATTCAAAGGCTGAGCTACTGCTATCTTTCCTTACAACCACCTTAAAATAAAAATATCGCCAAACAAGGAACAAAGATAAACAGGAAAGACAAGTGGTAAAGGTGCGCATGTGTACAGTGACGGATGGAAACTAGACTTTTGGTGGTGAACACGACGCAGTCTACACAGAAGTCGAAATATAATAATGTACACCTGAAATTTATATAATGTTATAAACCAGTGTGACCTCAACAAAACAAATTTAAAAAAAAAAAGGAAAGACAATAGTCTCTAAAAGAAAAGGCTCAGATGTAACTCATTAGTGAACTTTTACTACACAGCTATGGTACATGTAAAGTATAATGTCTCATTCTCCACATTCACTTTAGAGATAACAAAAGTTCTATCCAATTTTTTTTTCCACAGATGATTTTTGGCCAAATATAGGGAAGAGAGGAAGTACTGAGAAACTCGGGAATGGGTTACTGGTAACATGAAATAACCTATCTGGAGGCAGTAAAGTGCACCCAGCATCAGGCCGATGCGCCCCCAGGGTTAAGGCATGATGTGGGAATTTATAAATAAGCCTTCTGGTGTTCCTAGTAACTAAATACCCTAACAAGTCTGAATCTAATTTAGTCACTTCCAGATTTCATGCTTCCTCAGGCCCACATAACGAGTATATACTCTCCGGTATCCAAGAGACTGTAGGTTTACTACTGCTAGAAGGTAGATGTGATTTAAGGTAACTCCAACTATTTGATTCTAGAGAAAAACGACAAAAATATTGGGTCTTTTTTTAAGAGCAGGAAAAGTCTTCTTTGTTTTAAGTAAAAACTCAAAACTCATCAAAATCTAAGAAAACAGACACACATCAAATCCTCTTATATGAAATACAGAAACCTTTTTCAAAAGGTACAGAAGAAATAATGTTTTAAGAAATACAAGCAAAGTAACTTTTTGGGAGACTAGATTTTTTTTTTTAAGTTGATGCCATCTTCATGGGAAAGATCTTTCAATAACTTGAAACTTCACCTTAAGAAGTCTACTCACAGCTCAAAATCTGACACAGTCTGACATCAGAAATATAAGAAAGCCAAGTTCACTTCGAGGCTTAGATCTATATAATTTGCTGCAAAATGATGACACGGTCCATCTTTCAAATTCAGCTGCTAATACGGGCCTTCCACCAAACAGGTATTTTGTCCACTTTGTTCTAAGATCACTTTTCCTTTTTTAAAAGAAAGAAGTTGCACCTGTGATTACTTCAAGAAACTATGAAAATTAAAAGCAGAATATCAGAAAAATGCCCCCTAATTCTCTCAATACCAATCTTAGGTAGACAGTAAAACACCAACACAAAACTATCATCAATTTGGAGGAAAGAGGAGTAAAAACTAGCACAAACCTGCTGCTGTGGGTACTGCATCCCTCCCATGGCCCCTGGGGTCCGACCCTGGATGCTGATTGGATACCGCTGCGGGCCTGGGGGGCCGTAGGCACCTCCTGGGTAAGGGCTGCTCTGCTGCGGCTGAGAATGAGGGTTACTGCCCATTCCATACAGCTGAGGTCTCTTCATCACCATGGGATCCATTGGGCTGCTCTGTGAAGAAATAAACCGAGAGAGAGGTTTATTAAATCATTATATTTTACACAGGCAGAAATTCTGTTATGCTACCATATAAATTAAAAACACAACTATCCTTCTGAAAATATTAAAACATGCAATATATACAAATAGCAAATCATTATGGACACCTGAAACTAACAATGTTATCTGTCAATTATATCACAATTAAAAAAAAACAATGACCTGGCAAATAAAAACCCAGAACATTAAAAAAAAAAAAAAAAACCTAAATGTATACAAGACATTTTATTTTTTACTTTCAGGAAGGTTTTAACAAGAGGGGTCTGGAGTAAATAATATAAGGAAAGATTTTGCATCCTAAGCAGAGAAAAAACATTTGCATCTGAAATTCTATTATGCATATAGGAAATAAGCATGATAGTTAATCTCACCCAGCTCCTTTTAACTTACCAGTAATAAAGACAACGTATACTGAGTGGTTAGCAACCCTTTCTGACTTCAAAGTATTCTTAGAACATCTACTTTATTTTAGACCTGAGTCTGCAAGTCCTGATCAAACGTTAATGCATCTGAGTGCTCATTAGAAAGTGAAAGGATAGATTTTAGATAATATAGAATGTCTAGGGTAAAAATTTTCAAACATCGCTAGTGCGCATGAATAAGCACCCAGACTATGAGTCACAAGCCACCGTCCCCGTGTAAGTAAGCATCTCACCAAACACAACCAGTTCAAAGCTAGACTTTGAGTCTTATTTTTGGCTTGGTGAGTCAGCCCACGGGCCTCAGGGCCAAGGCCATTCGGGAGAGCCAGCCTGGGGCCTCCACCGGGCTCTCATGCCCTGGGTGCTTCAAAGGACCAAAGCAGCAGTGGGGAAGTCCCTTGCCACGGCGCTTCAAAGGCCTGCAGCACTCATCCAACAGATCCGTCCGTCCGTCCTTCCTTCCTTCTTAAACTGACCCCTACTGTATGCCAGACTCTACGCTCACACTGAGGAAAGCACACGGGGACTCTCGCGTAGGCTTAATGATTAGCAGGATAAATGGGAAGAAGCCAGGCTCAAGGTGGGGAGGGCCTAGAGTAGAAGAGACAGCATAAAGTACAGGCTCAAGGGAGATGAGCTGCCCGTGTGCATGAGGAAACATAAGTCGTTTAGAGCCACATGAAGCAGGAATTTGCAGGGAAGCTAAAGCAGGCAGAGGCCAGCACATGCGAGCGCCTTGTATGTCATTGTAAAGATTTCAGATTGTTTCCCGGGGATGAACTGCTGGGTGCTTTTCACAGAGAGCTTGAGTCAGATCCGCCTCCGGAAGGACGGCCCTCGGGCAGCTGACTGGGGCCAGGGGGGCTGGCGCAGCAGCAGGTGAGCTGAGGTCCTCCACTGGTAGCAGCGGTGGCAGAAAGAAAGCCCAGATTCAATTCACAGGATGGAAATGCAGCGCAACTCGGAGACTGAGTGACTGACGGAAGACAGGAGTCAAGGGTGGCTTAGACGATGAGACACCAACTGAGATGAGTGTGCAGGGACAGAAGCAGATCAACCCTCTCCCCAGAGTCGGGGAGTCAGGGGGAGCCTGCAGATTTCTATTAAATTTGAGGTCCCTATAGGAAATCCAGGGGAAACTATCCAGAAGGAAGATACACAACGAGTTTGCAGCTCGGGGAGTAAGGTCTGACCTAGAATAATAAATAGGGGCGTCAGCACGGAGAGGATACTATATGCTCCTGGAGGGCAGCGATTTTTCTGTTTTACTCACTATTATATCTTCAGGACATAAGTCAAATAATGCACTTGGCACATAAGAAAATGTTCAATAAATACTGGATGAATTAATCAATAAGAAGGATGTAAAAACTCAAGAATTTTATCCAGGAAGAATATATGAAAAGAGCACAACGGGTAGAGGACAAAACTCTAGAAAATATCACCACTTAAGGGAAAGGGGGGGAAGGAGCACACAAAGAAGCCAAAACAATGGTCAGAAACTGTAGTTAGAGATTCTAGTGAGGATGGTGTTACGGAAGGAAGGGAGTCGTGTTACGGAAGGAAGGGAGTCATGCGTAGCAACAAAACAGGCATGCCAAGTGCAGCCCAGGTGTGCGACAGGTGAGGGCTAAAAGCTTCTGCTATCCTTGATGACTAGGAGGTAACGGCTGAGTTTGGCCAGGGCGGTCTCATCACAGAGGGGAGGGCAGAAACTGGAAGACAGGGAACTGAGGCATGAATGGCAGGTGAGGGGAAGCCAGAGTTTAGCCCCAAAACCCTAGCTGAGGAAGCTCCAAGAGCTGCCAGTCCTCCCTCCCACCTATACCCCACTCCAAGACTGCAGGTGGCCTTTGCTCTTCTTCCCTCTGAGGGTTACCCTGGCGTTCATTTTAATGACTTGATTAATCCATTCACCACATTTACTAAGTAACTACTGTGTGCACTGTGCCAGGTACTAGAGGCAGAAAAATGAACCAGCATCAGTGGCTATCCTGGAGAAATGAACAATTCACTGAAGGGGACAGGCTTAACGGAGATTACAGTGCAATGCAGTAGGCAGGCTAACCGGACATACAAGGCACCGTGAGGAAGGACCATCTCATCGGGTCTGTGAGGGGTTTTCACAAAGCCTTCCTATAGGGAAGCCTAGTCCTGTGGGATTCAGAGGAATCTGCCAGGAACCAATCTCACCTGAATGAAAATATGTGTAGGCCAAACAGTTCTGCTCAGAATTCACAATTTCATGGAATTTTAACTGTGCTACTTTCACCAGTCAAGAAAAATTTTGCACTTACAATGACAGAAATTGCTCAAACAATACACCCATGTTACACAACCTGTGCTGACTTCACAGTTCAACATACAAACATATAGGCTGCTATGTTGCAATACAAAATCGAGGACCAAGAATTGTTTTCCCAGAATGATTTAAATTAGAATTTATGCCTAAGAAAAACAAAATGTAATTATTTTCCACACTTTCTTTCAAAAGATAAAATAAAACTTTCCATGGAAGTGTGAAAATTAGGCTGAGCTGGTGATTTCAGAATCCGCAGAGCGAATTAAGGGCTCACAGAGAGGCTGAATAAATCAGATTTCAGGGTAAATTTCCAATACGGGGCCCTGAGGCAGCCCTATCTCCACATTCAATCTGGATTAGCCAGGGCATAGCAAAGGTCTACTTATTTCACTTTAAATAGTGCACGACCAAAACTGGCTTAATTAAAGCAGAAATTTAAAATGGGAAAATGATTGGAATGTCTATATTTTAATGTTATAGATAACAGTGCAGCAAATTCATCTTATCAGTGACTAAAATTGTTTTTTATTATCTGTCTCATCAGTGCCATAAACTCTGACAGTCCTACTTAAAATTCAGTTAATTTGCACCCATGTCAAAAATGTTAGCTTAACCCTGAGATTTCTGAAAATCGAAAGCGTGAAATACAGATTATCTGTACCTCTCAAAATGCATCAAATACCTTTCAGTGAGACTTCAGATATGAAAACAGATACTTATACAGTGCAAATTGTTTAATTTTAACCTTCTCTCCTTATGGCCTCTTATTAAATATTCATCCACAATCCAAATTCACCCCGCTGTGTACTCTTGCTATTTTTAACACTAAATATGTACAAGTGCAGAATCCCATCCCCTGCTTTTTACTACAATCTCCTTAAAGAGACCAAAGACCAAATCAAACCTAAGACTTTTCCAAAAGACATCAAGGCCAAGTTGCTTCTCATATTCACATCTAACCTGCAACAATTTTATGTTTATCATCTATCCTTCTATTGATAAACTCCAGAGTATCACCATTTTCATTTCTCACATAAAATTTATGCTGTATCAGAGACATGATCCACACTAAGAACAGCCCTCAGATACTTCTCTAAACATGTTACTACAAACATGTTTTTCCTTTCTAGATGTCATTCCCCAACTGCTGCCGTTGGGGCTTCAATTCCATAAAATTTAACAAGTGCTTTGAAAGCTACAACATGTACCTCCCATTTTCAAAGAGCTCCCAACATAACTAGTCTAGGTGTAGTTACTCAGATTCTAATGCAGTTTTATTAGTTGATAACCCTTTCTTGTAACTCCCCCTGATTCATATAAGCTTTTGGATATATATGTACATATGAGTTGTACATCACACACACGCACACATGCACGAGCGCCCTCCCTCCCTCCCTCTCTCTCTCTCTTTCGGATCTCCTTGTAGGAAGCTGCCACTGATGCCTGCCTACGTCTCTAAAAGCCTCAGGTTTCCCATCCCCACAACTACTAAATAAGGAGTACAATGTATATTTTTAAAATATATATTTGAGGGGCCGGCCCGATGGCATAGTGGTTAAGTTCACACTCCACTTCAGCAGCCCAGGGTTCACAGGTTCGGATCCTAGGTGCGGACCTATGCACCACTTGTCAAGCCATGCTGTGGTGGCATCCTACATATAAAATAGAAGAAGATGGGCACAGACGTTAGCTTAGGGACAATCTTCCTCAAGCAAAAAGAGGGAGACTGGCAACAGATGTTAGCTCAGGGCCAATCTTCCTCACCAAAATAAAAATACACATATTTGAATGTAGATTCTAGGTACATTTGGTAGCACAGTTAAGGCTGTACTATAGGTTAAAGAGGTTTTCAGAGGCTGGCCTGAGAATCCAATATCTTTTTAAAGATTATCCAAGTTAAAGAACAACACACTTTTGGTTCTACACTTTTAGTACACTTTAGATATACTTGATGCTTTTTATACTTAGACACTCCTTCAGTACCACTCTTTCAGAGTATGCCTGCACATGTATTTATAAGAAAGATATCTGTGTAATTGTATTTACTCCTAAGCATCAAGTTAAGGAGATAGTTTATTAGTAGTTTCTTTAGGAATATAATATTTCACAATTTTTTCAGCCTAATTCCTTAAACCACAAATCGAAGAAACGCATTGCAAAAACCCACAGAAAGAAACTATCACATCTTGATCTATAATCATATCAATATATCTGGATTAAACAAGAGT